CAAAGAAACATAGAGAAAAGTAACTATTTTTGCTACAATTTAATAGGAATTGCTATTCAAAAAGCAAATAAAACAACCCCCCCCAAAAGCTGCTTCTGTCCCGTGATTCATAATTTCTAACATGCAACATTTCAAAAATGCTTATAGCATTATTTATTTTAGATAGTGTATGTGAGCTTTCTGAAGAGACCTGCTTAAGAAATAGCTAGGCAGCAAGGAGAAACAGCTGTAAGTGAAACTACACAGGTATCAGGCAGCTTCCCTTCCCCCCACCCCCCTTTACTCTGATACAAATAATTCAAGTAATTTATGGCTGATTCAGACAATAAACAGAACCACAAGAAAAGCTAAGGCTCACTCCAGTCTGATTTATTATCTTTCCTCTGAAATTAGCACTTTCATCCATCAGTCTCTTTCCAGGGAATCCCAGTGTTTTTGGATTTGACCTCAGATTGATGACTTTTGGGAGAGTGGGGAGAGAGATCCAGGGTTTTTGGACAGGCTTTCATTCAGTGAAAGTGTTTAGATGTGGGTTCTTTCAAATCCCAAAGCAAGTTCATGCTTGAGTTCACTAAAGATCGGCTGCTATAACATGGAAGGAAAAGAACAACTGAGCAACATGACCTTGGGGGTGGTTATTCTACTTGTTAGTAGTCTGCCTAGTCCATTCCTGCCCCGCTTTCTCTTCTGCCCAGATCCATCCAGCAAGCAGGATTTCTTTCTTAAACAGCTTCATGTCTTCTGAATACAGTTTTTCTGTTGTGCTTTCTTGTGGCTGGTTGTCCTTTTAATGGGTCTTAATTCTTTCTGAGCAGTTGAAGAGTTATGCAGCTCGTTTGGGTCATTTATCAGTTTAAATTACTAACATTTCCTTCCCAGGAATTGCAGTTCAAAGAACTGGTGCTGTTGGGCAGAGACTTGGCAACTTTTGGCACTAATAAATCTCTGAAGGATAAAAGGAGTCTTAAAAGTCCCCTTCAGAAAAAACAATGTTTTTAAGATTTCAGATTTCTTGTCACTCCATAAGGGATTGATTCTTTGATCAGATAGCACCACTCTGTGAATGAAGACTTAACATTTGAAGAAAGATCCTGGGAGAAAGTGCCTGTGAATAGCAGATGCCTGCTTTGGTGACCAAAACACTTGCAGTGTTTTTTTAAACACAAGAGGCTGTAACAATTCATTAATTTTCCCACAAGCTCTTGTTCTGTTCAGTTTAAAATAATCTTTCTGATCCAGGGCCCGCTTGACAGCATGTAGAATTTGTGCATGTATTTAGCCTGACAGCATGCTTCCTCAGAATGAGGTCAGTCAGTCTGTTAGAATAGATGGTTGCGACATAAAGGCGACTGCTGAAATATTTTAGCTTAAAATAAGTCAAAGGAGGCCTTCCTTGTCCCTTTTACAGGCACTGTGTTTGAAACATGTACTTTTCTTGAGAGTGATCAATGAAAAATGAAACTAACTTCTGGTTCTTCACTTCAGGAGAACCAACACCTATATATTACAGGTGTAAAGCAAAAAGCCTCAGTTCAGGTCTGAGCTACACATCTCCAGTTTCCATCCTGGACAGTCCAGGGGACAGTTTTTACCAGTGGCTAATTCAGGTGGGGATGCATAGCTTTAACCATTATTCTGTGTCCACTGTACTCAAGGTCTCAGCATAAGGAAACAGAGAAACTTTTTGCTGCCCCAATAGTGAGGTGTCAAAGCAATGTAGAGGCTGCTGCAATTATGTTTTTGGTTTAAGTTCCTTAAGAGACTTTATGTCACCGATGGTTCAGCATTGTGGGACTCTGCTCTACCATCAACCATCCCTTTTGTCCTGCCTATACTGCGTGAAAAGGGAAGGGCAAGAGATGGTTTGGGCAGCTTTATAATAATAGGGTGTTCCCATCTCTGAAGGGAATTTTTTACTGGAAGTCCAGCACCTGAATCAGTGGAGTACAACAGAGACTCTCTCTATCCCACCCCTCCCTGTATAATTACCACATCTACTCACATACAAGATGACCCTGAATATAAGACAACACCTCCAATTAGATTCTATATATGGAAAATTTATAAATATATGTTGTTTCTAATTATTGAAGGTTTACCTTAAAATTGTCCCCTGTCACTGCTACAACAGGAAAAAATAATCTGTGGGGATCAAGTAGGCCATTTGCACTCTGCCCCTACCAACTTCTTCCCCCTACAGCCCCTTCCATCCCCTCTTACTGTCAGACCCTGATGTTCCTCAACACATGGAAATGAGGGGCAAGTTTGAAAACACCGACCTTGAAATAAACAGAGCTGTAGTAATTTAGTTCATCCAGAAACTGTGCACTTGACTTTTTTTGCAACTATTGTTGCAAAATGTTTTAGCACAGGTACTCTATAAATACACCTTTAAGCAGTACTTTTATATATATTATTAATAATATAAATTACTAAAAAAGATTATTCTCTCTCTTTCTGTATATATCTATATGTAAAATTGTTCGTGTTCTAAGGCAAATCAGCCAAATCAATTCCAAATCTGTGAGTCATTCAAGAACCATATGTGGCCCTACTAATGGCAAACATCCTCCACCCCCACTTGGGGCTTTAGATGTTTCCAAATCATTTGGCAGGCATTCTACATGCAGGCCCAAGCCCAAGGCTTGGGGTTCGGTTGCCCCCAAGTTTCACTCGCTCTAAGCCATACGGCCATGGGAGCAAGCTAGGGAGGAGACTTCCATTTCCATAAAGAGGGCATAAAGCCAAGATCTTCCCACGGGAAATGAATGTGGGAGGTTAACTATGCATTACCTCCATGGGTACTACCCTGTGCCAGAAAAGCGGTTATCCCTAGCAACTAGGAAAACCGCCTTAGTGGTCACAATATTTCCTCTGCCCTGGAAAAACCACCTGGTT